ACGCTTCAAGAAGAAAATCTTTATCTAACTTTAATTCAATTTTCTTTTTTTTTTGCTCTGGCAGTGAGCTTATTTGGGTTTTCCCCACTTGTATTGCCGGTGTTGAAGGTATCTGTTATCTCCTGTTTACTTATAGATTCAGGATCTGTTATCTCATGTGCTAATAAAACCTGCTATAGCAATAAAAACCTGTTATAACCTGTTCTCTCATGCATTTTTTCTCCGTCAAGTTGAAAAAATTCACAAAAATGAGCGAAAACGTTGCTACAAAGCCAATAGTTGGTTGAAAAACAGGAAGGAATTCAACGAAACCAAAAAAAAATGATTGCACAGTTTTTAAACATTTTTCAACTTTCTAAATTCAAGAAATGTTCAAGATTGGCACTTTTTCCTTAAACTTATCCTATTTAGAGAAAACTGGTTTAATAACTTTTTGAGTCCGCTTTAAATTCAAAATATGACACAGAGGCAAATTTTCACTTCGCATAAACAAGCACAAAACTGAATGAATGAATCTTTGTCTCTACATAATTTCTTAAGTGACGCACACCAATTATGAGTCTAAATAATTGCTAAGCGACGCAAGCCAATTACGCAGCATTAGCAGTACCAGACAATTTGAAAAAATAATTTCACCAACTAACATGCCTCAAGTTATAGAGACATGTTAGTAGGCATTCTTCCCAACCACAACGCAGATCCATGATACCTTGAAGCTAAAGTGCTATTTGAAGTATAATATTCTTAGCATTAGCTGTATTTAATAGCTGGTTATTGATATTATGCACATACTGCACTAAAATAACACTTTCAAAAAAAAAACACTAATATTTGCGACTTAAGTAGGAATAAAAGAGAGTTCATACTCTCACACAAGCTTTGCTTGTGTAAAAATACCTTTCTGAAAAAAAAGAAGCCAATGAACTGAAACATACACAGTCGAATGGCAAAAAATCAAATTTGAGCGTGAACAAAACATAAGACGTTTTCTTGAAAAAAAAACGCAAAAAAAAATATCAGGACCTGTATAACTGATAATCACTTCGTTCTTCTTTAACACTTCAAAACATTTTGATACAGTATTTTCAAAAATTATAATATTTCATATCAAACAGGTCACAGTTATGAAAACTCCAATATTGAAACTAAATATCCAATTTTCGCTCTTGAATTTATCGAAAAGAAGTTAGGTCACAGCAGCAGCTACAAAACAATTAGGTGAACAAACACTATGACAGAAAAAACGTCAAATAAACTGACAACAGCTAGGCGATTGCTCATTAAGCCCAAAAAACAATTTGAGCGGAAATTAGTCATTTTTAGTAAAAATTTATGGACGCAGCTATGTCTGGAGAGTATTCATGCCAAAATAAACGAGATAACTTGTTAACAGAAAAGTCTAATATATCGCATACACAACCGAAATCACCTCTGTTGGAAAAGCTTTCAAAACCAATTACCGAGCGGCAACTAAGCCGCGGAAACTTGGGTAGACGCCAGCTGAGCCGAGAACAAAATGAAGCCAGATGTTGAGATACAAAATTTTGAAATTAAATTAAGAACATAGCCAAGGAATGCAAGTAAACAGAAAAAAATACTGACTTGTTGTGTGAAAAAATCTCAATTTTCGAACTTCCTAGAAAAAATACATGCCCTTGAAGCTCTTCGAATTTCAATAACAATTTATGACTACTTTTTGCTAAAATTAACCCAATTTCAGAAAACTGAATCAATAGGTATCAAAACTGTTATTTCGCTGGGAAAACGATCTAAACTTTTATGTCGCTGGAAATCTGATAATTAATTTCCCGTTAATTAGAAGCCAATCACGTTTTTTCGTGACCTTTACATTTTTGCTGTTCGATAGTGGCGTTTGCTCTCACTTTTAAAAAAATGAACTTCACTTAACAAAAAGTCAAAAGACGAAAAACGTCTCAACTTTTAAATTTCAAAGAAAAAACAGATGAAAAAACAGATGCCCTTAAATCTCATTGAAAACAATTTATGACTGGCGATGAAATTAACCCAATTTAAGAAAACTGGATCAATAGGTAAAATTTATTCCGCTGGGTTTTCTGATAAATCAATTGCACTTTCGAAACTAGAAGTCGATCAAATTTTTTGCGACCATTACAGCTTTGTGGAGTTGTAATTTGCATTCCTTTTACACAGAGGCGAAGCTTCGCTTCGCAAAACACAAGCAAGAACACGACAAAAAGCAGCTCTATCAAAAGCAAATAAAAAAGTAGAAATAAGCATCGAATTACTGAAAGTTCGGCTACGATTCGATCAGCGACCTAGAGATTGAGTCTCACGTACTAACCACTCAGCCGCGGACGCCTAATAAACCCCAAGCACTAAACACAAACAAAGTAGAGAACAGATGCTATGAAATTTCCGAGGCCACAGACAGTGATTATAACAAAGGTACCACCAAATAAGTGAACACTTTCAATGAGAACTGTTATTTGGGAGCTAGGTTAGAAAAAAAAGAAGGTTCGTACTAATACACCAACGCCCCCTAGTGTTAACAAAAGAAACGAACTGAATTTGAAAATAAAACCAAGTCGAAAAATGAATTCGAGCCTGAACAAACTTTAAGACTCTTCCTGAAAAAGAAAGAAAAAAATCATCGCGACCTATATAAGAGTCTGAACTACGTTCATGGACTTTTACTATGATACAAATTAATCAGAGTTGATTAACTTATAAATTATATCATTACTTTCAATTATAATTAAAACTGCTTCATTAAAACAAATATTAGCGCTTTGAACAGGGGCGGGGGGCGGACACCTCCCCTCAGGGATTCGAACCCCTGCCGACTCAAAGGGTCCCCCTCTGAAACATCCATTTTTGGTGAAGGACCCTACAAATTTTCTTAAGGCGCCCATATACACTAACTTTGAGGGGGGAGCGCGCGCGGAGAAACTAAATTCCATGCTTGGACAGTAAGCCGACAAAAACAAGTAGCCAAACGATAGTCCGACAGTTCATGTTTTTTAAAACAATTTAATTTCCACGCATCGAAAAAAAGTACGACCACGAATTGAACCATAAAGAGGTCTAGAAAAGAGAGGGGCCCGAATCATGCTGATGTTCCATATTAAAGGAAGGTAAAATTCTGGCAGAAACTTCAAAAAAATGTCCCGCCGAGGATCGAACCTCCACACCTTATGTTCCGAAGTCGCATGCTTTGACGCTAGACCAAGTGAAAAGGAACTTTAATGGTTTCGTTCTAGACAAGTCGACTAGCTCGTTTCCGTAACAACTCACTTGTTTTCACAAGTGAAATTAAGATTCAGAAGACAAAAATGCACTTCGTATTATATTAGGGTAGCTGGTGAAGGTTTTATTTTGTGTAATCTCTCATATAACGTATAGCGTGTACAATTTACTGGTGATGTGAGTTTCCAATGTAAAGGCGTTTGCAGTTGTAGCCTGGTAAAAGGTCGGTCTGGTAAACGACCTACCCCCCTTGAAACATCAAACCTTTTACACTAAAACGATGAAGTAGATAGCAAGTGTTGCATGTTTACGGAGTGGTTTGTGGTCAAAACAAGCACAGAATTATGAGTCCATTGCAATAACAGTCAGTTTACACTATTAACTACGTTTAATTAACACTTCCAGAGGGTAATTTGAGTTATGGCAACCCTTCATTGAATAAATGTTAACCATAACTCCATGCCAGAGGATACGACAGAGACTTAATGAGGGTGAACATACTACAAAAAGCCATAATGACCAATCGAATATAAATGTATATTTCAAATCAAACCTGTAACACCATTCATAAACGTGTAAGGTATAAGAATCAGGATACACACACACTAAGGATCGGTTAATGGTCCGGCTTCTCATGATTATACCTGCCTTGAGGAGTAGAGCAGACGATTTTTTTCCATTTGTTAAACAAATGCCCTGGCTTCAAGATTATCCCACTTTTTTCCGGGAAAAACGGGATAAAAAATGATTACATGTGAAAATAAGTCGTGAACAATCTCGCCCCCAAATTCATTTAAGGAGATGAACATTGGCTTGCTTATAAAACTATTGAATCTTAACTATTACCCTTATGGAACCAAGTAACAGATTACCACCCCTATGGTAAAAAATTCGATGGATAAGCGTTTGTGAATTTCGTACCTTAAACTTGAACGCTTTGTCGCACATACCGTCTTTTCAAAAGCAAAATGCCTTCAAAGGTGATCAAACCGGCTGGTACACCCAATCAGTAAATTTACAGCCGAAACAGTTTCCGCTGTAACATTCGGCAGCGGAAACAGCCGAATTTTACGAAGGTGTATTGGTCACTCTTATAAAAAGACTAAGTATTGATCAATAGAGACGCATCATACCTTTACCTTTTTTCGAAAACAGTCAAAACTCAATTCTGACTTTTACCCGAATCAACTTTACCTGTCGTAGTTCGTTTGTTTTTAATCAACCAAGAAACCAACATAATTGTTGCGTCATTTGGGTTATCTGCTCCAGTGCTTTTGTACAGGCAGAAAAGCGCAGGTTATTAACCAAACTTTCGGCACTTGACCACTGCACTGGAGAGGGGGGGGGGGGGGGCTTTGCGAGGATAATTATACGACGTTTTTGTTTCTCTACATACCAATTCTGAGCAGTATTCATTATCATTTGACGCCAATGATTCGAATTAATCGAGGATAGCTCCGTTTTTCAACTCACCTTGAAAAATATAGCGAAAGCGATTTTAGCTCACAGCTCTTTTATTTCGATCTATCTTCAGAACAGATAAGTCTGCTTCAGTCTACGCGCAGACTTCGCAGAGACCGAAAGAGCTATCGATACTTTCGCTCTGTTTTCTAACAAAAACGCAACAAACAATAAAACCTCCTATCTGAAAATATATCGCTTACGAATCTCAAAACATTTGAATTAATATCGCGTCTTAATTCAATAAAACCATGAGTGTCCTTTTTAAATTGTCTTACTCTAGAATTTACAGAACTGAGCTTCAACTATACCTGATTTAATTTTCGCCCAGTAGCGTCAAACTGACTTCGGACTTCCTCCACTTGTTCCTTTCCAGAGATTTTCCTCTCGTTTGTACTCCTCCTCTCCTTTTCTTCTGCATTCCCACCTTTTTCAAGCTTGTCTTTATCTTCGCGGTCAAACTTTTTGCTCATAACAATTCTAAAAAAGATAACTAATAAAACTTGTTACTCGTTGATTACACGGCCCGATTCCACCAAATTTGAACGAAGGTGCTCAAAGAAAAATTGAATCTGTTCGTTCTAAATACCCAATTGACTTGAACAAAAAACATAACCAACAGAACGCAAGGAAATAAAACTTCGAATTTCAAAGACAAAATGAATGGCCATAGAGCTCTTTAAAGTTTTAGAACAAACTATCATAAACTTCACGAAAACAGTTTAATAAAATAACCCAATTTGAGAAAACTGGATCATAGGGTAAAAAAATTTTGTTCCGCCGCGATATCTAAAAATAAAATCCTCTTTCGAAACTAGAAAGTCGATCACGTTTTTCCGTGACCATTACACTTTTGCTGTTCGATAGTGGAGTCTTTTACCTAGAAGCCACGTGAACTCATCGAAACCAAAATTTGTGAAGCCAATTAACATTACCCCGATAAAAAAGCCACTATTCACATAGCAAAATAATTTAATAATTCGTAGAGAAATAAAGTTTAGGCTCTAAAGTTTGAATAAGTTTTTACCGAATAAGGTAGCATTGATACTATTTCATAAGCTAATTCTTTTAGACTAATCCCTTAGATTGTCACTTTACCATGCAAACACTATTTTTCCGTCTGTTTGCAAGCAATAAATTGTTTTTAATTTCTGTAGACTAATTTTGATGCCAAAAACAATGAAAATTTATCAAGCTGATTTTGCGAATTTTTTATATATGCCCGAAAAATGCCTTAGAAAATCTTCTTTCTAAACTGAATTAAGGACAGAGGCCAAAACACATAAAAAGTCGAAAAAAAAAATCTAATGAAACTTGAAAAATGAATGCCCTCTACGGGAATTAACCCACAGTCCTCTGATGTTCATGTTAATGCCATTGAAGCTTATAGGAACCAAAGAGATGCGGCAGAAGGGAGCTTCAAATTTCACAAAAGCACAAACTTTGAATATAAAAATTTAGAATGTAATAAACTTAAGTCAACCAAACCATTTTGCATGTAATTAAATGAAAAGTATAAAGCCAAGTTGTGTATTAATTTTGATCTAGCGAAATTTACTCAAGATCTAGCGGAAAATATTGAGTTTGAAAACTTTTGAAATGGATTTTATAATGCTATTGTTATATGCAACAAATGACTTTTTTCGGTTCATTTGATGAATTAAAAAAGCATCAACTGCGTTAACATGAAACAAATCAAAGTTCAAAGAACATGGTATTATGATGCCTTCTGCCTTAAAACTGTCTCAAAATAGCACTTTCACATTAGCAAAAAGCCACCAAAAGTAGCACTTTTATTTGTGACTTAAAATGGAAAAAAGCTGCATCGTACTATCACACTATGCTTCGCTTGTATAATCAGAGCCATTTCTGTGTCAATGCTACCCAATTTGCTATGTCATTGTAAGCTGAAACTCCTCTCGGTCATTTACACTCAAAATTGTGATTTAATCCATTCGCTTTGTTCCCTCGAAAAGTTCAGCTTTGATTTTGCCGGTAAAATAAACGTGAAATCATTCACTGGTAACTTTATTCGTTTTCGGGGAAAAACTGGAGCTTTGCATAATCGAACTTTTTTCAAAACTTTTTAAAATTTTATTGCATAATTATTAATCAAAAACCGTCTAAATCAGTTAAATACTTCACAGAAATTTACAGCACAAAACATAGCTAAAAGACAGTTGGTAAAAAATCAATGAACGCAAACAGAAAAAATACTGACTTGTTTTTTTTGTAAATATCTCATCTACCTGAAAAAAAAATAGATGCCCTTGAAGCTCTTTGAAATTCTAGAACATTTTATGATTGGCGCTTTTTTGAAAAAAAAAACCCAATATGAGAGAACTTGATGAATCAGTAAGCTTTCTATTTTGGTGGGAAATCTGAAAAGTAAATTTCAATATCGAAACTAAACGTCGATCACGTTGTTCGCGACCTTTTTGCTGTTCAAAAGTGGATTTTACCTTCCTTTAAACTAAGGAAATTAACTGAACTAACAAAGAAATCAAAAGACAAACCACGAAAAAGTAAATTTGAGCCCAAACATTTTCAGACTTTTCCTGAAAAAAAAACGAAAAAAAAAAATCATCGCGATCTATATAAAAGTCTGCACTTCGTTCGTTGACTCTTTATAGAATATGATCCATCTAAACCGTATTCCATCTAAACTGCTATTTCACTTTAAATCAATTGGATCAAATATACGCCGAGTCTAATCAATACACAAATTATAAACAGAAATTACAGAGAAGACATTGGGTCTTTTGTTAGTACCCCCAAAATCTCAGATCATCAAAAATGCTCAGATTGTGAATCAAATAAATAATTATTCAATCAGATATGGCTAGTTCTATTGATTTAAAAAATGAAGTCACAGAAATTGTTTCTCCCAAATTTCGTCCGATTATAACTCGTTTTTACGAGAAAAAAAGTCTAAATGATCTCAGGCGGTACCAAACTAATTTTTTCTTTATTTTGACTTTCTGAGTGTGCTATCTGGTTTTAAATTCAAGTTTAAATACTGTTTTAGTCAATTGGTGATCAAATAACTTTGGATAAAAATTTCACGACTTTGGGGAAACTGGTAGAAAAGACCACTGTTAAGTAGTTCTGCTTTTAAAAATTATTACACGATATACAAATGTCTCGATTTCGCATTAAATGATCTGCAAAAAGCTCCAACAAATTACAAATAAGATCCTTGCATGTCGTGTTCGCTGCTGGAGGAAGTCATGGCTGACTTGTGACTCATTGAGTTCCGATTGACCCCGTCTGAACTGACATGAGTTGTGAGCAGGTTGCCGCCGCTATACGTGCCCATGGCCACGTTGTTCCGATTCACTCGGTCTGTAAAACAAGTTCACTCTCCAACTGATCAGTGTTGTAAATAATTAGGATCATGTTAACTACCCCCCACCCCCTAATTCGATTTTCAGAAATTCAACTTTGGCGTCACATTTTCAATAGCTTAAAACAGTTTTCAGAAAATATATATATTTAAAACTATATTATTATATTAAGGTATTATATAAATAGTGAGCAATAAAATTCAGAACGCGTAATAATGAAAACCCACTTAATTGTTGACATTTTTGAAATGGTTGTCAAAAATAATATATGCATAGGGGATGGGGGGGGGGATAATTAACAAGGTCCAGAGGGGGGGGGGGGGGGGGGGGATAGTTAACAAGATCCAATAATTGTATCAAAGAAGAATCTGATTCAACTAGACTAACGCCGACCCCTACAATTTAACGCTTTCAGTTTTTTCAGACAAACTTTCCCAAATCTTCCAGAAGTTCATTTTCTCCGAAAAATTACCAGCCCAAAAAGCCTGACTCAAAAACTCTGCCTCCGTAAAAATTCAGTAGTCATGGGTGATTTAATGGGGATCCGCAGGAGTAGGTTTAGACTGCAGGCAGGGGCGGATTTAGGGGGGGGGGGGGGCGGACGCCTCCCCCTCAGGGATTCGACCCCCTGCCGACCCAAAGGGTCCCCCCTTTGATACTTTTTCAGAAATCCATTTTTGGCCGACCGACCCTAAAATTTTTTTAAAGGCGCCTTCGGCGCCAATTTATACTAACTTTGAGGGGGAGCGCGCGCCAAAAAAAACGCGATTTTTTTGTAAAATTTTTTCAAAAAGTGCCCAAAAACGGCTTTTTTGATTGTTTTTTCAAAAATTTGCCTGCGGCGCAGAAAATTTAGCCAAAATAGGGGCAAAACAGAGCTTTGGCAGAGCTCGAAAAATCAATTTGGTTGACCTAAAAAAAAAAAAAAGGTCGTCAAAATTTTGGAAAAAATTTTTTTTGAAAATCCGCCCCCCCCCCCTCGAGAAAATCCTAGATCCGCCCCTGACTGCAGGGGTCGGGGGTTTGTTGTCTCGGTAGAAAAGTAAATTGTGAAAAGTTTCCTTTCCCTGACCTATCGTATCCTAATATTCCCACGTCCACTGCAGATTATCTCTCAGATCTACTTAACAATTGCCCCCCCCCCCCCCTTTAAAAAAAAGGGGGACGCAATTGTTAAGTAGATTAAAATAACGCATTTTCGACCAATCAGATTGCAGCAAAATTCGAATTTCTATCTCTCTTTATACCATGCTGTAGCGGAGTGCCTGCGACAATCCCCGAAAGAGTTATTTTTGTGAAATGCATTCTGACACAACAATGAAACCTAATTTAAAAGAAACGTTTCCATGTCGTTTTCTGCACTCCATTCAATTTAATTTGACCGATGCATCCGTAGGAGCATCGGGCCCAAAAATACATCTTAGTCAATACACTTAACATATATGATAATAATCATACAAAACACATACACAATAACTTTCACGCAGCAAAATATTGTATTCTGAGGAAGACATTTAAACAACATTTAACTTTAATTACAAGTTTACCCATTTCCGAAAAGGATAAAAAAAATTGTCTACTCCTGTTAGTAAACATCGAAGCTTAAACTTCAGCTATCAGCTTTTCCATTATTCCTTCTCTCTTCGTAAGAGCTTGAAAAGACTACATTATAATCATTGCGCTGATAAGTATATAATGCGTACAAGTTTCTGTTTGCAAGCAATCAGCTTGGTTCGTATTCACAGCGCCGAAAATTAAAAGCTATTGACAACGTCGAATTTTTTTTTTGTTTCAAATTACAAACAATTGTTTGCATATAATTATCTGCGGCAAATTTCCGACATCACAGTCTAGTATTCGTTCAAACTCCGGGCTCCTCTTCGTTGAAACTGCTTGACCACCTCGATTTGGTAAAATGTCCGTTTTGTATTTCTCAGAAATGTATTTAAACAATCATTTTGCGTTGTGCATAGCTATTAAATGTTCGGCGCAGTGAATAGGTGTTTAATTTTTGGCGTTGTGAATAGCTTTATAATTTTCGGCGTTGTGAATAATCGGCGCTGTGGGAATACACCCTCAGCTTACAAAATATTACTTCAAAAGCTTTAGTTTAGTGGGATTTAGACCAAAACTGAGTGGCTTCTATTTTCCAAAAGGCCCTTCTTTGGTTTTACAACCTTTCTGTAGTTGACCAACTTGGCGCCAATATACAGTGCTGAGTTCAATTTAATTATCCCGACACGACAAAATAAAGCTGAACATTATGTTTTTTCTCAAACTGGATTGATTTTAGTTAACATTTTTGGCTTTTTTACTCAATCAAAAATTACACCAAAACTATCAGTTGAATTGCTGATAAAACTATAACACAGTGAGCCTCTTATGTAGCCCATCGGGACATAATTAGAACTTGATTCAACTAATTTTGTAGCGAATTAATTTATGCTTGAGCATTTTACCATGGGTCAAACTTAGGACAGATTGTACTGTTGATCTCCTATGTTGATTGATTACCGTTTTTTACTCGATTACTTCGGAAAGTTTAATGGCCACAAAAGGGTTGACACGGGTTTACCACCAGTACCGAGACACAAAGTGTTTAAGAAAACGCCACAGAAATTTTATATAGGACAAAATCTGCAGCAGGTCGAAGTCCGGAAAATAAGAATTTCGTCCCCCTTTGTACTATTTTGAGATATCCATTTTTAGCTGACTGACCTTAAAAACATTTTGCTAATGGCGCCAATCTAAAATATTTTGAGGGGGGGGGGGCATAAAAACACTTTTTTTTGGTCTTTTTTCCCCAAAAATTCCTAGATCCCCCCTCTCGAGAAATAATTAGATCCGCGCCTGCATAATGGTTACATTTTAAGGGAGTGCACCTTTATTTCATACTGGTCAAAAAGTAAACAAAGACAATTATTGACCAATCAGAACGGAGATAGAAAAACAAACGCAAAAAATATGTAAAAATAATGACTTATTTCGTACAATTGTTCGATTCTGATTGATCAATACAGTATTTGTCTATTTTATGACGTGTTTAATTTATGGTTTGTCTACTTTTTGCTACGTAACCCATTTCAAGAAATTGAAATGTTGATTTGGCACAGGATAACTAACCGAAAGTATAGTACACTACCTAAAATCTTTTCGAATTTTCATGACTGACAGTTTTTTTGATTACACACCCCAATTCCAACAAACACTATGTAGTTTTTCTATTCCGCCGATCAACTTGAAAAGCAAAAAAAATATATAAAACCAAAAACAATTCTATTCTTCTCTCCATCAGCACCACTTTTGTCATAGGAGAACGCAATGTGCCTTTCGTTTGGCAAATGAATGGTACCATGAAAACAAATTCCTCCCAAATTGATTTAGGGGAGGGGTGATAAAATTCACTTGGTAATTTCGCTTTTTAGCAAACTTTTGAACGATGCGATATATTCAACCAATCAGGATGCAGTGTTTTTGAGAGAAAAGAGATAATAAGTTAAGAAAATATTTGACCGCTTATATCGCAGAAAAACTAAAGTGGAAAAAAATTTTGCAACAATTTTCTAAAAACCAATATAAAGCTAAAAACCCAATCCTATACAACATAATTCCACCTGTTTTTGTCAAACAGGAGCTCAGGGCGAACCACAATTTCTAGACTAATGTTAATAAGACATTTGACTTTTAAAATAGCAACGGAACAAATCTCACGAAGCAGAAACAAAGCCGACAATCTATGAGCAGACACCAGTTGAGCAAAAAAGATCCAATAAAAAACTTTAAAGGTTTCAAGTCCCCCCTAAAATTGCAAACAAGCAACAGCCAATTGGAAAAAAGTCAATGAACCCAATTAAACAGAAAAAACAACTGACTTGTTTTAAAAAAAGCCTCAACTTTCGAATTTCCAAGAAAAAAATAGATTCCCTGAAAGGTCTTTGAATTTCTAGAACAACTTATGATTCGCTTTTTCGATAAAAATAACCCAATTGGAGAAAACTGGATCAAAAGGTAAATTTTTTATTTTCCTTGAAAATCTGAAAAATAAATACCATTTTCGTAACTAGGAAACGATCATTTTTTCGTGACCTTTCAACTTTCGCTGTTCGAAAGGGGAGTCTTCCTTCCTTTCAACAAAGTAAATAACTGAACTTAAAAATATCAAAAATCAAACCGCGAAAAAGTAAATTTGAGCCTGATCAAATTTTAAAACTTTTGCTGAAAAAACTCATCGCGACCTATGTAAGACTCTTAATAAACCTCAATAGTAACTACCATGATATTTGCTTACGAACAGAAAAAATCCTCATTTTTATATAGTAAAATTGGCATTTTTGGGCTATCAAGCAAAAATAGGTTATCTTATACAAATTTTTGGAGATTTTAATTTTCTAGAACTTTGTGGGCCGTGTAAGAGGCTTCTTTTGATATAATTTTCTTATCAATTAAGTCGGTAGATTAAGTGTTATTTCTGATTAACTAACGTAAGCCAAAATGATATAATTTGGGGTAACACTTTGGCTCCGATTTTCGCAAAAAAAAATCACAATGATAATTCTGGTAAAATTCTAAGCAACTTTTGTTCGCTTTACTTTCTGTCTAACTTCCACGCAATTTGAGAAAAACGCGTTTAGAGATTCCAATGTTGTTCATTTAGTCCGGATAATTTATGAACATTTTTCAAATGGTGACGGGTTCTCAAATAAGCGGGAATTGGAAGGTTCATCCTGTAAGGCATTCAGCTGTAACTTACCCGACTCAGCAGCAGCAGCAAAAGAATAGGTCAAGTCCGGAGAAGGTGGGCGATCATCAGTATTACTGTCAATCATTCGGAACCCTTCATTCATTTTCAGTTTGTTCCGCAGCCTCGTTCCATCGTCCGATCCGCGCTCTATGTCCGAACCCCCGTCGGCAGCATCGGCCAATCGCTCTTCTTTTTTCTCTTCACTCTTAACTTTACGGATTTGAGCTCGTGTGTCTTGCTTTCTCGAAACTTCCAAACTCTTACTCACTGTGCTCACGTGCCCTTGATTCTGATTGTTCTTCGGCTTAGCTGAGTTTCTGCTTTGCATTGCAGTTCGACTGTGAATGCGGCGCACATTTTGTTCTGGCTTGAAGTAAATGATGAAAAGCTTTGGTCCGAATAGACAAAAGAGGGCTACTGTCGCACTTAGACTTATGCTCACACACAGAGTAGAGATTTGGATCTAAACATAAATGCATAAAGTGATCATCTAATTTCGCCAGTTCAAGCTATACATGAATTGACTTTTTTAGACTAAATATTCAAAGCCTAATAATATCGCAGAGCTAAATGAGAAAAAAGTAGTTTGTCAAGGTCAAAAAATTTAAATTGAACGCAGTAAATATATTAAATACTGAGTTTTTTAACTCAAAACACTCACGCGGAAATCCGTTTTGAGTCCAAAGTAGAGCGGAACAAAAGCGAGCCATACGATACAAGTGGTGTACATCGCGAAGCCGATGAACTTGGCTTCATTGAAGTTCTCTGGAATGTTTCTTGTCTTTACAGCGTAAACCGTGCACATAACAATGAGCAGCATATTATACACGAGTGAAATTGTGAACTTGGCCTCATCAATTTGACACTTCAGAATAACTTTGTCCATAGCCGGCGTGTATTCCAGTCTCGTTCCCGGCTGTTCGACAAGAAGCCACACCAGAGACGCGACTAATTGAACGACCACAAGCAGTGAAGTTATAACCAGCTGGGATTCAGGACTTATCCAACGCAGTCCCGCAGGGAATGTTTCTGGGCTTTGGAAAATTCGATATATTCGGTTTGTTTTTGTCAACAGCGGTGCATAGAGCATACAGAAAGATGTGCCGACCAAAATACGCTGTGCTCCACAAGCAAAACTACTGGGTCGGGCAACAAGTAGGAATGTATTAAGATAGCAGCATATGCACCCAGTGAGAATCATGAAGCATAACTCGCGTCCACTGGCTTTGACGATAGGCGTCTGGTTGTGTCGGATGAGAGTGACTGTTACGAAGGTTGTACAGACTATTCCGACAATGGAGAGCGTAACAGGAAACAACACCCAGTAGCTGTTCCATTGAATAACAGTCTCTTCTAGTTTAAAGCATTCCCTATGAACAGACCATTTTTAAATAGAAAAACATAGCCAACAGACAGTTGGAAAAATGTTAGTGAACGCAAGGAAACAAAAAAAAACAACTTTTTTTGGAAATTAAAAAAAATATTTTAAAATACTTATTTTTTTGAAATTAAAAAAAAATAAAAATTTTTATGTAATATGAGAAATCTGAAAATTATAATCCATTTTCGAAACGTTTTAATTACGCTGGAAAATCTGAACAAAAAACCATCGTTCACAATGGCCTAAACACATTTGCTGCTCGATTTGCAAACAACAAAAACTGTTTAAATGAGCTCAAAAATTCAACCTAAACCGAAAATAAGGGGAAAAATTATGCCTGAAAAAGACTAAATAACTCGGCCGCTTAAAGACCTTAAGAATGCTAGAAATTCAAGCATATCTTAAATTATTTACCAGGCAGCAGTTATTGCGCTCTAATTGAGAAGAAACGCATGCGATTAAATCGCCGAAGACAAAAATAAGAACTGATCTTACAGAGTTTCGACCAAAGAAGAAAACAGACTGATCTTATTACATAATTGTTGCTTGTATAAAAAAAGTCAGTTATTTCTGCTTTGATTTATGGATCAAAACACAGGTGACAGCTACTGATTCAAGTTTTAAACGCTTTTCGCTGATTTGAAAACGAGCACATCATCAAAGCTTTTATAAACATCGGTTCAGCGTAAAATATCAAATGAAGATGCTTCTCACAAGATAAGAACAGGATATGAATATGGAAAAAAAACTTCAAAGCACTTGGAACAACTTCACACACCAACCCCTTAAATAACTTCGCTGAATAGAAGAGATATCTGGATTCGACTCAGCGGCAATTTTTACAGACTGAGGTGAACGAGAGCTTCGCCGGCAACTAATAAGTATTATACAGAGGCGAAGCTGTGCTTCGCAAACACAAGCAACAAAGCGACGAAAAAGCAGCACTATAAAGTGAAATAAAGAAGTAGAAATAAGCCTCGAATAATTAAAACTTTTCATGTGTCGGATCCGAACCTGCGACCTTGAGTTTTGGAGCCCTAAGTCCTTCCCTCTCAACCACGGACGCTTAACATTCGACACAAACACTAGCCACAGTCAAAGTAGAAAACAGATGCTTTGAACCTTTCAATGCTACCGATCGTGTGATTACAGCAGAAAAGCCACCAAGCGAGCCTAGTGTAATGAAAAACTTCACCAGTGACAACTAAGCCGACAAAAATTGGGTAAACGCCCTTTGAGGCGAAAACGAAATTGTGCTCACAAAACTTTAGAATTACTCAAACGGACGTTGGATAACTTTTCTATGAGATACAATGAATCTAATCTATTTACCTGAAAAACTTTGTGATTGCATAAGAAATATTTGCTGAAACTTGATTAAAGGACCCTTAAACTCAACTGAGGGGGGAAACCCTGCGGTCAGCCGCTAAATTCATATTATTACCATTAGACCACTAAGTCGATATAACATAAGTAAAAACCAATTAAAGCTGTTGACGAAATAATACAATGGCTAGGAGATTTACAAACTCGGGAACCACTCCAAAACTCTTTCAATTAACATAGACAAAAATACGAGGCTTGACAGAAAGACCAACAAAATCAAGATGAAAAATAAAAACGTCAAACACATTTTCAGCAGGACTATTCAGAATTATTTAGGAATTAGTAGACAAGACGAAATTTTCTCATGCGACAATTCCATGCTAAAAAAATCACAAACACAAATATCTATAGTACCTAATTAATTTGTGTAATCAGCAGAATCGATTGGAAAAGTGCCATTGAACACGAACACTGAAAAAAATGATATCGTTCTTGTACAATTTGTTTTAGTTTCTATTGAGTTATATCCTCATTGCAGCTCATTGAATTTCGAGAAACTTTCATTATTGACACATTTCTCAGGGAACCAAACCGAGGAGACAAAACTGGGTCAAAGCGAGGCGGAGCTTCAAACCACTTGTGATACAATCGTACAAAATTAGGAATAGCCTAAAAAATTAGATATATCGAAACAAATGAAGTCCAAAAAAACTATGCCAAGACAAAAGATTGTAAAACCAGCATCGGAAAAAAGTTTATCAATTGGAAAAGAAAGTCGAAAGTACCTGAGCACAAAACCTTTTCAGCCGAAAAAATCATGCAATTAATTTTAAAAAAGTTCGAGTCACCTCCCACTCAAAACAAAAACACACGCACACAAACAATATTTTTGTTCATCAAATGACGCAATATAAGGCCACCAAGCCGATAAAATATAGGCCTAAATCATAAATACAGAATAAAGTTTTTTAATTTAGAAAAAAAAAAAGTCAGGGTTCGTTCAATTAAGAACAGCAGAAATAAATCAAAACACTAAAAGCAACTACAATGTAAAATGCGTACAGCAAAAAAAAACAATTGTACGATGTGGCAATTAAGTCGACAAAACATAAAGCCGACAAACAATAAGCCCACAATTTCTTTTTGAAACGGAACATTGCCCGTTCGAAAAAAAAACAGTTCCTGTCAGATTCAAACCCAGAACCTTTGCCGTCCCAAGCGTATTTTTTCCCATAGACCAAGTGTGTCGGAGACGCAAAAAAATGAATTCAGTGTGAAGTAAACCTAAATTTACCATTTCTAATTTTGACCATTCTGTGAACAAAGTTATTTACGTGAAAAAATGCCTAATACTCGGTTGCAATACACTTGCTGCCACAGGTGCAAGAATTCTGCTGGGATTTCGGAAAATCATAATCCATCTTACTATACAAAAATCATTCACATTTTCTTGCATCATTTGCACTTTTTTATTGGATAGCGTAATAGGCCTTCTTTTTAGCAATTGAATTAAACTTAAAGAAAAAAAAGGAAGTCAATCCGTGAAAATCAAATTTGAGCGCGAACAATTTTTAGGACCTGTTACTAAATGAGAATCCGAAAACGAAAAGACTAAATAACTGGTACTTAAGTTTGTTCATGTAAACACGAAATCAATACCCGAGCTCACGAAACATAACAGAAAGAAGGTCAATTTCTTACTTGAAATCTTCAGTGGGCCACCATCCGCGCGTACAATTCTCACAATGTCCAGTTTTGTTCAGACGCTGATTCGGAGCACACTTAGTACAGACCCAGCAGCAAACAGAATGCTCAATCTTTTGATGGCCAGCTTCGCATGGTTCACTACATTGTGACTTTGGTATGACATCCTCGAATGATGGAAACTTGAATCCCTTTGCTGGATCCAAACTATTTCCATAGAATTTCAACTCCCTCGTTTCCTCGTCCCAAACAGCCAGAGATTGATACCTAACACAAATTGAAAACTAGTTGAGCAGAGTTTCCTTATTCAGCTATTTCACAAAAATAGTTTTAATAGTGTATATTAGGAAAGGGTTAGCATTGTTATTTTCAAACAAAAAACGAATGGCTTGAAAAAATATCATCCAATGACTATTTTTTGAGAGAGATGAATGACTCTGAAACATGATGATAAAATGGAAAAGTGGATTCAAAACTGAAAGAAAGTTGTCTTTTCGCGCAAAAGTACAACGCAAAATATTCCTACCTGAGTTTTCCATCTGTTTCCTGAAGATTATAGATCTTGTACACTGCTTTCCCATCACCATTTTCATCGAAGCGAAACTTACTTTGCGGGGATGACTTATCTAAAATAATGAAAAGAGCTCAGACAATATACAATTTCGAAATTCATTAAAACGAGCATGAACACTGTTTAAAAAAAAATAACCAAAAGGTTCAAAGTATCATAGTAACCGAGGTTAGTCAGGAGTCCCTTCATCACATAGGTACTAGTTTACTTGATTGGTCCCTCAAAAATGCTGCGGGATGCAGGCTTACGAAACGTCTTTCCTTGACCGAAGCAGTGACATAGTAAAGCAGGAGACCCTGGAAGCTCTCTATATTGAAAAACTCAAACCTTCTCTGAATACCAAGAAAGAGTAGCGCAGGCGCCCCCTCGCCATCAAGCTATGATGCATCATGTTCTGTATGTGTGGATACTTTCCGTCTCAGAAAAGATTTATTGTGTTTTTTCTTTTCTTCATTTGACTGGATCTGGTGCTCTTTTCAAGCTCAATATTTTTGTGTTTTAAGATGCTGACGATGAGCGATAGCTCGAAAGTACTCCTAATTCAACATTGATCAACGTTGTTTTTCTAAAAAAAAGCTGTGGTCCCTAATCAAAACCGAGGTACAGTGTGTGGCTAATTCTAATAGTAAACGTTCTTCTTTCTCTACTTTGCTGTTGATATAGGCCTAGTCAGTCTAGCGGGTACGAATCCGGTTACCACCCCAAGGTGTTAGGTTCAAATCCCGTTTTGTCTTGTAACATTCGTCTACTGCAGTCACACATGAGGCTTAAGAAAAATAGGCCCTATAACCACTGGCTCAAGGGTCAGGGACACTATCTCTTGTGTTTTTCTACCTCAAGAACGGTCGGAGCCAGTTCGGTTCGTTTGTGACATGAGACTACGACCCGTTACAGCTTAAAGGCTACTACTAAAATATCCCCCCACTCTAGAATTAGAAACGTCCCCATACTTAGGTCTCTAGATACCCAAAATACATGAACGCCGTTAAAAACCGGGTTGGAACAATCCGTTAAGTTGCTTTTTTTATTAGACAGTGGAACTTTGATCCATTTCAGATGGATCAACCTAAAACTCGCCTTACCTCAACATAACAATCATAAAACACACTCTAGAATTTAAATTTGTACTCACATAGTAGCACGCTCAAGAAGTGAGATATAATCCAGTCAGTAGTTAACTCAAGAATTAAATAATGTAACTAAATGAGTCTAATGTTTTATAGTTTTAACAATGAGAACGAGTTTATACTCTAGACAATAGTTTTCTTGTGAACCATTAGGACACTCAAGCTGTCCACCTTTCCACCGAAGGTTCACTCTAGTCCAGTTCCGAATAATACTCCAGTCGCTATAATCCAATTCGAGGGAATGCTCTCGTCTCTGTCACAGATGGGACAGCTCTACTCTCGATTATTATAGTGATGGAAATTGCGAATAGCAATTTCCTACTGCTTTTTCTTACAACTTTCCCGCGTGTGCGACTCAATTGTTCTGAAATTGTTCTGACTTCTTTTTCTGATTTTCAGTTCTCGCGAGAAAATCGTGCATGACAGGTTGCATTCGAAATTTTGAAAAATTAAATTTCACTCCAAAATCAAGTGTTTTTTTGCTCCTCTCAAGGTCAAACTTCCAAATATGACCGACTGGCACATACTCCCCGGACTCGAGATCGATGTCCTCATCGCGCGCTGTCTTCTGCCAGTGAGTCCCAGAAAAACCGAGTGTTGCTCAAGATACACTGCCAGTGGTCATTTACAGAAGTTTGCAGCAGATTTAAGCTTATCTACACCCCAAAATTCACAGCCATTTAAAATTTTCACACTATTGCTAAACAGCAACCAAAATCTGCATACACCTGCACCCTTGAATTTTCGCTTTTCAAGCCAATCATTTTAAAATCTCTTTTGTCCTATTCAATCAGGAAATTGTCATGCAGCATTTCGATTTATATAATAAATCTAGTATATTAGTAACAATATTTGCTTTGTTAAAATTTCTTTTTCGTGAATCCAAGTTTCACTCGGATCCACGCTCAAGCCCCCCTTCCCTCTCAAGACTCAAGATCCATCCGATTTGCCCATTCATCTCGTACTCTTCGCCTTGGAGGTACTGCATCCTGAAGTGCTAGATGCGGCAAACTGTCTCAACAGTTCCTCTTCATCATCGGAACTAATTACAATCTCCTCCCAAGCCTTCAGCTGTTCATAGGATCGCATCCATTCTCTCTGCTCCTGCAACCTCTTTGCTTGGTTGGGTAGTGCCTTCACCCTAGCTTCTCGGTTCAAGCAAAAGGAGTTGTGCAGGCTCAAGCTCACGTTCTTCGCCAGGTCTTCCTCTAGTATCGACTCCCTCGCTTTGGTATTGTCTCTAGACATCTTACCCACTCTTTTCCATCCTGTCGTGATCGCATTACGATGGGTTAGCAGGGGTCTCTTGAAAGCTTCCGGCCCAATCTCGGCCTGGAACTGTCGATACTCTTTTTGATGTTTTCTCATGTGATCTTTCGTTGTCATGTACAACCAAGACGTCAGTGTCGCCCGAAACCATGGAAAAAACCTCAAGCGACTCCATACGTGCCTGACTTCCGTCGGTATGGCGAATACTTTGCACGCAGTCTCAAACAACTCGAGTCTCCTACTGTAGTCTATCGCGTGTATTGACTCTGCCGTTGGCGTCCCCGCTTCCCGATACTTCGTTATATTCTCTTCTATCCATCTCAGAGCCAAGATCGTACTCACTACCAAGATCGTCACCTTCTGTCGGTGATCCGGTAGTCCGATCGACCGAATTTCTTCCACATCCCACACCAGGCAAAGGTTCTTGTGATCTGGATACCACACCGTTTGTGCCAAACAGTGGCATGGGCGTTCCCCATGAGAGATCTCAATGCTCCTGAGATTACGCTCCCCTGAGGCTTCCAAGAGAGGCTCAAGCTCCATCATTTTCTCGTGCATCGTGTCGTTATCTTCCAGGTTCGGAGTACTTCCCACAGGTTTTCCGATCACGTTTTGTCTCTCGTGATCGCTTGTGTTTTCTCTTTCCAACTTCAGAAGATCTTCTCCCCAGATTTCGCTTAAGTCATCTCTCAATTCTTTTGGTACTGTCCCTTTGATTTTTCTCAACAACTTGTGCGAGTGATGCGACATCCGAGCCAACCTCACGCACTTGGGCACTGAGAAGGCCTTGTTCACCAGTATTCTCTGGCTGGACACTTCCACCATCGCCATGTGTAGCGGGTAGTGACTTCCGCACAAGTTGGCCATCATTGACCCTATCAGCGATTTCGCGTTCAATGGCAAGCCATAAGCTTCGCTCATGGGAAATCCCATTTCCGCCTCAAGACCAACCTTCCAGCTCCGGATGTGTTTTTGAGTCACCTGCAACACCCCGGGCCATGATTCTACGCTCAACGCCGTCACTAAATGATGTTCAGATTCCAGTCTCTCCAGTGCCTGCAGACCACACATTCTCGAGAAGAATCCGAGAGCTGTCGCTATATTCACCGTGGTTCTCGCGTAACATTCCGCTATTATTTGCACTTCACTTTTCTCCCTTTCTGTGATGTCTTCGAACCAAGTGACCAGGTCTTCTTTTTGAAACGACAGTATTCTGACGCATGACCGTCCATCGCAGATGTGCTCTCCGTTCCCACACGTCGAATTCAGACAGCTACCCGGCTCCAATTTCTTTGCTGACCCGGGGTCGCTCGTCCTTTCGCTTGGCTCTTGCATCTGGGGCGTGATTAGCTTATGTAGCACACTCAACTTCGCCAGATCTTCATCTTCCGTTGGTGCTAACCTCACTCGCTCGGTGGTTTCCTCGATTAGACTCGCATGGGGATGTGGACACCAGGAGGGTCTTAGTAGCTTCCATATCACTCCCAAGTTCGTGGTTAACAAGCCATTTCCACCGCCCATGTTCACTTCAACTCTCTTGTTTGAGCGCGGTATGCTTATCACCTCTGGTGTTTTCTCAAGAATCAGGCCCAGGCTCGGCCCCTCTTTTTCCACCGCGTCTACTTCCATTATTCTTTCTGTCCAAAACTTCAGTAGCTCCGCTACCTCATGGTTTCTGTGGGCTCCTCCAGCTTCCGGGTCTAAGAAGGGATTGTAGGCTATTCCCATCACTCCAGACACATATTGGTATTCCCCCTTCTCACTGAGTCTCGAGTACTGTTCTGACGAGGCCAGGTTACGGTGAACATCATGTTCTTCCTCGAACTTCTTATTAGAGAACCTCCGTACCTCGTCCAGCTTTCGATGGTTCTCTAAGGATAGTCTGGAACCATCTTCTTTCTCTATTCCTGTACTCTGATATACGTTCAAGATGATCGTTGAGACTCTTTTCTCCATGGTTTTACTTCCACTTGCTCTCTGGTGGCATGCCAGGATGGTGCTATCAGACATCATTGACATTATCCATCTCAAGAAACATGTGGCATCTTTTCTTCTAGCCAGGCTCAAGCCTGAATTGTCCCTGGCCACGTGTTGCATCAGTGCCTGATACACCTCTAGCTTCTTGCTTCCCAACTTCAGCCTGTCATACGAGGTCAATGTCTCCAACTCTATTCCCACCAGACTCCAGGTGAACATTAATTGTCCCGCAGTTCTAACGAAGGGATTCGCCATTAGTGGCGGTGCTGATGAGGATGTCCTCATCGCCTCTTCAAAATGATCCTTCAACAAACTCTGCCAGGACCTCTTCAGATGACTTGCCATCTCTATCTTATTAACCTCGGCTTTTTGCTGGGTGGCCCAATTGCGTCGCTTGCGAGCTAATCCACTGTCCAACTTCTTCAAGCAGTCCTCCATTTCCTTCAATGTTTCGAGGGCCACCCACCACGTCCGGGAAGTGTTCCTCGTCTTGTTCCTCTCCAATGGATCACTCGTCACTTGTTTGCCCATGTCCTGATGTGCCTTCGAGATCCATTCTTTGCCGATCTCCACTTCCCCTACCTGTCCGTTCGTTGAACCTCTCTTCACGTTTATCTTCTGAGGCTTGAAGTCTTCTTCTGACGTCGAACTGGCGGAAACCTCTATTTCCTTTTCTACTTCA